TGAAATATGTAACTTTATTTATATAAAAAATAATTAAAACATAATAGTTTTTTTATAAATAAAAATGAAGTAGCAACGCATGAGATTTGGCGACATTTAATAAATTTGCATTTGCACGGTTATACAATAGGAAATATTGACAAATTTATTTTTTAAATATAAAAAACTTAAAAGTATAAAATATCTTCTTACCTGCCTGTCCATGGGTAAGTTGAGTTTTCGGAGATTGCGCAGTGTCGGTGCAACCTTCAGGGGAGGTATTTACCGACCATTTCACCAAGAAAATTTTTACATTAAAAATGAAACTCGATCTTACAAATATAAAAATTATAAATCAAGTCCTTGATAAAAACGGATTTATTGGTAGCCTGTGATATTTTTATCTCACAGAAATTAGAAACTTTCTCTTATTCGTCTAGCCCGCTGACCCAACACCAAGCACTCTGAGCTAACAGTGACAAGAGAAGACTGCTATGGGCAGGAATCGACGTAGCACTTGGTTTGATAAGGTCATCGCTCACATTCTCACGAAGGCCTTGTGTGGTCCTTGGTGGGGGCTTTCTGCTGCATTATTTCAAGCATTCAATATATCAATACACATAGTACATGTATATGCATGCATATAATTGCGAATAAAGACGCTAACAGTTTATTTTCTTTCTCCAAGCCTAACGTTTAACATACATATAGAACGTTGAACGTGGTTCTACAGTGAATATCCAAACATTTTCCAGAAATGCATGCCAAGCTTATAATGTATTCAAGTCCCTAGCTCTCGTGCTTCCTGAAAGCAATTTGACTGAAAAACGCAAAAAGCGTTCACACCTGCGTTCTTTCTTGTGAAACACAAGTTCAATTTTTATCTTATGGTAACATTTAGGTTAGCAAATTAACTTCAAATTTTAATAATAATTTTAAACAATTCAATGCTAACCCGGTCAAATATCAAACTCAAGACATTTAAGCTATTTAAAATACTGGCAATAATTAAATCCTCAATCAAGGAAAATTATATGTGATTCATTTTTGATAGAAATGAACAATACTCATCATTTCAAATTTTGGTTTTTTTATTTTAATATTATATACCACAAAATTTTATGCATTAAAATACGATAAAAATAAAAAATTACTCTGACAGTATGAGCATTACAGATAATTATTATATTATTTGTATATTTCTTGTTCAGCTTTATGCCAATTGCCAATTATGCTCGCTGCATAAACACTGACTTTGTTCTTTATAGATCTTTCCTGGATATCTATGCCGAGCAATGTGCTCTAACATGTCTTTAGTCCGATTTTTTTCCAAGCTTAGACCTCTTGTAATTCAAAAAAAACAAAAAGAATTCAGAAAATAAAAAATTCATAAAAAATAATACTGAGGTCGAAGACAGTTCCGCCGTGCGCTGTGTGCAAATCTTCCCTGTATGTATATATGCGGAGCATATAACTGTTAATGTTAATCTACAGTTGATTGAATAGTCACGATTTTTAAATAAATATTTTGCATGTTGAAAATCATGCGAGGGCCACAATGAAGAAATAAACGTGAGACTCATGATAAAAAAACAATAATAGATATAAGATTTATAGTAAAAATAATATATATGTTGCATGGTATTGGTTGATTGAATTACACACACACACAGGATAATAAATTGGAGATTACATACAAAGCTAAATAGAAAAATATAAAATAAATTGTTTCATTGTTTGAAATTTAATTTATATAGCATGTGAGAATAATATATCTAAAATAATATATTTCTTGTGCATGTAAATATTTAGTTAAAAGAATACTTTTTGCTACACTATATTCCCTCAATTAAAAAATATAAAACATTTTTAAAAAGTTAAATCTTTAAAAATATAAGACATTTTTATAATATATTTTCTAATAATCGATTGGGTTACTAATAAAAAGCCTCTTATTACTTGAGCATATATAATGCTATCCCAGGCTTCTGCTATTTCTATACGCTTTCTTCCTCTTTTTTCTTAATCACTTTCGTCTTTTCCTTTGTATAATCTGAGATTTTCAATTCTGTATTTTTTTTTATTTTTCCACATCCAAATTTTGAGGTGTAATAATTATCTTTTTTTCAAAAGTGCCTCTATTGTAGTGACTTTATATTTATTATAGGGTGTTTAACAAGGATAAATAAGAAAAAATAGAGTTAATTTAAAAGTAGGTAATTACTTTATTAGGAGGTGAGATTCAGTTAAAAATATTTTATATTTTTAAACGAGGGGTATTTATGATTTAATTTACCGTTCATCATTTACAGTTGAATGACCAGTGGCATTTTTTTAAAATAAATGTTTGGTGTGTTGAAAAACCATGTGGGGGCTGCAATGAAAAAATAAATGTGGGATGATAAAAAAATAATAGATGCAAGATTTATGGTAAAAATATAATAGGTATGTTGCATGATATATATTGATTAAATTATAAATATACGTGCAAATAAGATAATAAATTGGAGATTAAATACAAAGTTGAACAACAAATTATAAAATAGAATGTTTTATTGTTTGAATATTAATTTACGTATGCGAGAATAATACATCTACAGTAATATATTTGTGAGTGTGCAACAATTTAATTGAAAGAGATTTGTTCATACTTTTAGCTATAATATAATTGTAATTTACAAACACTATTATCACAAATTATTCATTATATTACATGTTTCATTTTTCTTAGAATGATGCATGGATCAACAAATTGTAAAAGATAACAAGGTAATTTTATTTTGTAATGTTTGAATGAGTTAACTGTTTATATATATATATATATATATATATTTTTGTAGGAATGTTTATAATTTTCAACACACACACACACAGATAAAAGCAACGCGTTGCAAGCTAGACGTTATTGCTTTGATTTTTAATTACACAAAGCAAATAATGAGTCACTCCTTAAAAAATATAAATTATTTTTAATTAAATATTATTTTAATAAAATAGTTATTTATCTTTAAATTAATCTTATTTTTCATATTTATCTCTATTTAATGAGGTATTTTACCCTAAAATAAATATAAAATAATTTATTTAATAAGAGTATTTTTTTAAAAAAGACAATGATTATACCTTAAAAGATTAAAAATGATCTATATTTTTTTTAACATACAACTTTTTAAAAAATATCTTATATTTTTAAATAAAAAAAGTATATATTTAATAATATTTGTTGGAAGATAAATATTCTTTTTCAGTTGATGATGAGGGGGGAACTTAATTAAAAAATTTATATTTTCATCCAACTTGAAAATTTTCCCTCACAATATTGATTGAAAGAAGAGCACAAGTGTAGGTGGGGCATCATTAAATGCACACGAAAAGCAACATATTTCAAAATCAATAAATTATTGTTTACTCTACATCTTTATAACAACTGGGCAAGATACATTTTAAAAAATAAATTGTTGTTCAAATTTTAATTTACATAAAGTAACCTCTTGTGGTATATAAAAAAAGTTTAAAATTTTTATTTTATTTTTACCTTTTAAATGTTAAAAAAGTCTCTATAAATATTTAATAATAATGTCTCGAGCATAATTTCTTGATACTTATATACTCCACATAAAACAATCTCGTGCGCGCCACACGTTAAAATCTAGTTTGGTTGTACTTTGTGCTCTACCTTCACCTGAGAAAGTAACCGGAGATAAGTTTTTCAAATTTTTTTATATTAAATTTTTCAAAATTTGTTTATTGCCAAGTGAAATTTTCAGGATAAGACAGGATGTTCGGATACGGACACTTCACAAGTGGCCACTTCTCGTAACGAACAAATTGGGCGGGGTAGGGCCCATTAAAAATTTGAAAATAGGAGCGTGGGTGCGCGCGTGTTTGATTAAGAGCGTGACATTGCTGAACGTACTTCCCAGTTTCTTGTCTCGGCAATTCCCTCCGCTGACAAAAAAATTACAGTGACAGAATAGGGAAGAGAGAGAGAGAGAGAGAGGGGCTCGGGAAGTGAGCGCTTAGCAGAGGCAGCTCAAAATGCCCAGTTGCCACCCCACCCAATGCTCAGTTGCCAACAAGCCCTTCTTCCTCATCACCTTCCCTTCCCCCTTAATTAGGGTTTGCTGACTCAGGCCATCTGAGCTTACGCTTCATACCTTCAGGTATGACCCGCCATTACTCTGTTTCTTTGAATCTGCTCATTTGTCGTTGGTCTGCTTCTTTGACACTTCCTCGCTTGTCTTCAAGTCTACTATGATTCGTCCGACCCCTTTCTCGTGGGAACGCTTTGAGAGTTCTGGCTCATGTTCTTGTTCTGTTGAACGTGAGTTGCTGTTGCCTTCGTTTTTCTTCCCCCGTTCTTTGATCCTCCTCTTGATGCTTACTCTAATCTTTCTCCGTGGATGATCTGTTATTTTTGGCTAACTTGGTGTTTTGAAACGAAGACGAAGTCAAGGTTTGGATGTGAAACCATAATACTGCTGCAATCTGGTTTCCGTGTGTTTGTTGATTGTTGAAGACTGAGAAGTATGATTTTTGTGTCTTATTTTGGTTTCATTTTAAAAATTCTGTGATACTAGAATGCTTTCTGGTTTATTTTCACTTGGCTGAAGGGTGTACTCACTTTTTTACTGAAGTTGGTGCTCTGCCGATGCCCTCTCTGTTTTTCTTATTTATTATTTTCTAGTCCTTCGGATCAGTGATTTGGTCCCAGACTGCACGTAGATCTGGGTTCCTCTCTTACAAAGTCACTTCTATCCCCATTAATAACACGTTCCACGTTTGCCTCTCCTTGTCCTACTTTTATAGTTTTACGGACTTCAACTACATATATTCTCCCGCTGCATCTTCAAAAGCCTTGCAAGGCCTTTATACAGTTCCTATAAGCGATACAGTTTCTGGTTTTCTGCCGCAGGAAAGAACTCGTTTTCGGGAACGGTAGAACATTGAAGAACTCTGAAATAATGGTTGACCTGTCCGTACGCCCAGTTATTGGTTGTTATTAATGTGCTCTGGAACATACCATGACTGTGCAAAATAAGTTGCTTATGCCGCAATCATTTGTCGATAAGTTTTTTATGCTAACGGGTTTTTATTGTTGTCTGTAACTGGTCGCTGTGGCTGTGGGGTCTTAGAAGAGAGTTAAAGTTTTAATAGTAGAACACGAGGGAGGAAAGCTGGAAAAGAAAATTCAAAAAGTGGAAACTTGGAAGCTGGCTTGCGTAATGATAATTTAATTGTTTATCTGGTGTAACATTGCGATTTTTTTATTTTTTGGTTGATTTAATTGTGGTTTGTTTATGGTAGGTGGTAGTGGAGTTAGTTTACTTAGAGTTTCTTTGAAGTGATTATATGTGGTTTGTTTGTTAGCTTTTCTGTCGAATGGTTGTTCCAAGGTGGACATTAGCTGTGAGTTTTGATATTGATTCTTACTTATAAATCATATTCCTTTTCATCTTTATGTCTTACTCAGAACTATTCCAGGTGTTGTGGGTCAGGGGCTTTTAAAGGAACCATTTAGTTCGCCTTTCTAGCTATCACTTGGGTGATTAAATATGCAGACACCGAAAGCAAGGTAAGATCCATTGCTAGTTTAAAGTTCTGCAGCATTAATTAGCGCTTCTCTTCTGTAATTCATGCGTGAATTCATGAAGCTAAGTGTTAATAAACATATCGTTACTTCTGAGGGATATCAAATGTGGATTATTTGTTGCTGGCATGTCCGAGTAATAACTGTACATTAATTTCTGCTGATTTACTGATTCTCTTTGCTTGACTTGATGATTAGCAGAGCTGGTTCTTCAGAAGTACCCCAAAAGAAATCTCCAGCAACACCCCGGACTGCTCGACAATTGAAGACACCAGGATCTGATCCTGACTCGCTCCCATCCTCTCCAAATCCTGTGAGCAAGTCTTCAAAAGATAGGAGTCCAAAGGTTGTCGAACGCAAATCACCCCGGAGTCCAATGTCTGAGGTATTTCATTAATCAAACATTTACATAATTGCTGTTGGGACCATTACTAACCAATCTGTTATTTAGAATCCAAATTAGTAACCAATATGTTATTTAGAATCCAAAAGATCAACATAATTGCTGTTTCTTTTCAATATCTATTTTGTATTCTCAATTTTTATGTTCTATGATAGAAGAAGCGACCTAGTAGAGTCCAGGAATTGGAGTCTCAGCTTGCTCAACTCCAAGAAGATTTGAAGAGATATCAGGAGCAACTGAAATCATCTGAGTCATTGAAGAGAAAAGCCCAACAGGATGCAGAAGAGTCAAAGAAGCAGGTTTTGGTCTTGTCAGAAAAGCTTGAGGAATCAGAACAACAACTTATGGAGATTTCAGCTTCTGAGGAAGCACGGCTTCAAGAGCTACGCAAGATTTCACAAGATCGTGATCGAGCATGGCAATCTGAACTAGAGGCAGTTCAGAAGCAGCATTCAATGGACTCAGCTGCTTATCTTTCTGCCATGAACGAAATCCAGAAGCTCAAAGTTCAGCTGGAAAGAGTGTCAGAATCTGAAGCCACTCACATCAATAATGCAGAATCAGCTCATGCTGAGATTCAGGAATTGCAAATGGAACTTTCGGAAACTCTTACCTTGGTGGAAAAGCTAAAAAATGAGATACGTGACTGCAAAGGATCCGAGTCCCAGGCCTTGGAAGTAGTTGGCAAAACTCAACTGCAATTGGAAACAGTGAATAAGACTGTGGAAACACTCCAGTCAGATGGAATCAAAGCCATGGAAGCCAACAAATCATTAGCTTGGGAGCTGGAGCAATCGAGAGCACAAGTCAAATTACTGGAAGAACTTGTGAGCAAACTCCAGGCTGATCTGGCTGCTAGTGCTAACAGTAATACATTAGGTCCAGCCAATGAAACTGGACTTGCACAGGCAAATCAAGAAAACCAGGAAATAAAACAGCTCAAAGCTGAGCTAATGTCTACCGAATCTGAGGTGGAACGATTAAAATCTGCACTAGAGGCAGCTGACACAAGGTACCAAGAAGAGTATATCCGGAGCACGCTGCAGATTAGAAGCACTTACGAACAGATGGAGCGTGCAAAATCGGAGTGTAGCTTGAGGGAGGCTGAATTATGTGAGGAGTTGAAGAGAGCAAAAGCTGACATTGAAGAACTGAGGGCTAGCCTGGCAGACAGAGAATCTCGATTGCAGAGTATTTCAAAGGAGAATGTGGAGCTTAGCTTAAGGATGACGGAAAATCAGACCACTGAAAGAGAATCTCAACTTGAGATGGAGTTGAAGAAACTGGGTGCTGATGTAGTGGAGTTAAAGGCGAGTTTGTTGGACAGACAGACAGAATTGCAAAATGTAACCAGCGAAAACAACACACTCAAAATGGAAATTCAGAAAGGGGAATTGGAGAACAACAAAATAACTGAGGAGGCTGTAGCTTCAGCTGAAGCAGCAAGGGCTGGAGAGAGAGAAGCTTTGATTAAACTGGGACACATAACAGAAGAAGCTGATAGGAGTAACCGGAGAGTAGCACTCGTGACCGAGCAGCTAGATGCCGCACAGGCTGCAAATTCAGAATTGGAGGCTGAGTTAAGGAGATTGAAAGTGCAATCAGACCAGTGGAGAAAAGCAGCGGAAGCAGCAGCTTCTATGCTTTCCGGAGGAAATAATGGAAAATGTGTGGAGAGAACAAGTTCACTTGATAATAGCTTTAACTCCGTTGCTGGCAAGATGAATTCGCCCTATTCAGAAGACACAGATGATGACTCCCCCAAGAAGAAAAATACAAACATGTTGAAGAAGATTGGAGTGTTGTGGAAGAAGAATCATTAGCAGACACGTCTCAGGTAGTTTGAATATCTCTACTTTCACATGTTTGACATAATGGTTCTAACGTGCTATTTCAAGCGACGTTTTTTTCCCCTTAATTTGGTTGTCAGGTACTTTGGTGTTTCAATGACCATTGGAGCTGTTCCATGGGGGAATCTTTGTCAAGAAAGGTTGTGTTGCAATTATTTTGTAGATACTTGGAATTTAGTTTGTCACCCTTCAGCTATCTAGATTTTGCAGAGTGGTTATCGACTATAGACCTAAATATAGTTGTAATATCCTTCAGTTCGTATGTTTTCACTTTTCGAGTGATCTTATGCCTGCGAAAATATTGACAAGGATGTCGGGAAATCAAGTGCTTCACCACTTCCCTTGACCTTGAGTGGCATGCCAGCATTGAATCAATCAATCGCCAGTTCTACTTTTGTTCAATATTATTTGATTTGTTCTTCGTTGCCATTGAGCAAAACAGAGTGCAACATTGAAAGTATAGATCTGATCTCCAAATGATTAAATAATATCTTATAAATGAGTGTTTTGTCATGTAAAATTGTATATAATTAAGTAAAACGGTTGCACATTTTTTCAATAGAAAAGTTTGTATGTCTCGCACGTGGTGGGTTTTATGCATCGCCATAGTCTGAAAAATGGGTGACTAAAAATTAGAAAATTCAAGCCATGAAAGCTGACTTGGGTCTCCGTGCCTTGAGCGTGCTTTACAGCAAACACAATCGCGGAGGAAAAAAAATGTATTATGCAGCATCAATTTATGAAGGAAGCCACGTGCATGATTCGCTTTTCCTGAAATTATAAAGGCGTTAAAGAAGAGTAAAGTTACAACAACACATTCAACAAGAAATTGGCTGAGTGGCGTCACCGGGTGAAAAAAAAAAAACCTAAAGATCTGAGTGGAATTTCTAGAACAGAGGCATATATGGAGCTCTACTGGGAGAGTCTCGTCTAATTTTGTAATTAGTTGCACTCAAGCAAACTAAAAAGGGGGAAAAGATATTGCCAATTTAATCAGTTAAGAGAACCGTGGAATAGAAATTCAACCCTTCGATTATATTAGATTATTTACTTCAATATAAATCATTTTTTATCTTGAAATCTAACATTTTTTCGAGATTAAATGAATAGAACTCTGGATTAACTGATATATATTTGAAAAATGTATAGGAATTACTGGATATATATATATATTTTTGGGAGACATTTTCAAGTATTTGCCACCATGATCATAAATAATAGCACTATGCATGAATTTTGTTAGCATGAATAATTTGTATAACTCAATATCCCTTTTGGTAAAAAAAAAAAAAGGAAACTGACAATTAGGGATCCATGAAAATACTAATGACAATTACAAACCCTAAATTATTAAAATTTCAATAACAAATCATGATCCTTAATTTACAATAAGTTTTTTTCGTTGATTGATTTGAGATTTACAATAAACTTTAGTAAATTTTTTGTTGATTGATTTTCGAAAGGATAGCAAAAAATAAAAATTAATTGGTTGTGATTCACAAATGAATCTCATAAATTTTTAATTAATGTTATAAATAATTTTAAATATATTTAATAAATTTTTCAGTGACTTATCTATATATTGATAGGAAAAAAATTATAAGTGATTGATTTGTAATTTATAACTGACTCTCATAAATTTCTAACTAATATTACAAATATTCTCAAATATATTTACTTAATGTTTTATTTGATTTATCTCTATTTGATAGTAACAAATCAAGATTTATAATTGACTTTTTAAATTTTAATTGATTTCAAATGTATTTATTAGATTTTTCAACTAACTATTCACATTTTTTAATTACAAGTAAGTAATCATGGTTTATTATTATTTATTGAGATTCTGTAATTTAGGGTATCTAATTATTATTATTAATATTCTTATGGGGGTTTTAATTTTCATTTTTCCAAAAAAAAGTATCCAATTCCTTTTTCTAAAAAAATGTAAATATGAAAGGCATAATCATTCCTTATAAAAGTTTTTGGAAGGAAAATGATAATAAAATTCAATCAAAATATATAAATGATAATTGAGTATCTAGAAATGCCATAATTTTTGTGAAGTATCTAAATATGTTTTTGACATTAATAATTTTAGATTTAATGACTAACTTGTTCATTTTTAAAATGAAAAAAACATATCAAATTCACGTGGAAAGTTAGGATTTCTTATTCTATTTTTTTATTTATAAAATAAAAATTTTGATTGCTTAAATAAAAATTTTGATTGGTTACTTTCAAAACTTAAACTTTAATGAGAAAAGAACTTTTATATAAAAAGTTATAATTTCTTGTTCAATTATTACTTTCACAAAATAAAAATTATTGTTGTTTAAATAAAAGTTGTAATTGATTTTTTTTTTCAGAACCTAAACATCAATGATAAAAAAAATTTCACGTGCAAAATTGTGATTTATTATTTAATTTTTGTAATTCATAGAATTAAAGTTATAATTGCTTAAATAAAAGTTGTGATTGTGATTGATTATCTTCAAAACTTGTTTATTAATTATAAAATAAAGTTAACGTAAGAAGTTATGATTTTTTATTCAATTTTTATGATTCACATGATAAAAATTATGATTGCTTAAATAAAAATCTGTGATTAAGAAAATGAAACTAGACCTGTTATTTTTATTTTAAACAAGTGATAATTTAATCATTTAATCTAAAATTATTAATATCACCAAGGTATCCAAAAGTTTTAGAAAAATTATGGCATTTTAAGGAATGTGACATGCTAATTTTTTTTTAACCATTTTCCTTTTTTAGAATTGTGTTATTGTTAACGACGATCTTCAACTTTATTTGCGAGGTGACGTTTTCTTTTTTTCTTTGTTTTTTTTTTTTCCTGTTTTAAGGTCTGAACGTCTTTTTTTTTTACCCCTGTTTCACGAGGGCGTCACCAAATATGTAGTAACAGTCATGTAAGGCCCATTGGGCTTGTCGACATTCCACGCGTGTATCACACGCGGCTCATCGCTGAAGTAGGCCCGATAAAATTTCCATTCCTCCCTATATAAACCTCTCGCTGAAGCCGATAAGTAGGGTTTCGTGGTGCGTGTGGCCGCTGTTAGCATTTCTTTGACGTCGAACAGTAGCGGAGGAGGACCAAGTAGCCGTCACCATGGGGTAATGGAATCCTTGCTTTGTCCAGAACTAATGTTGTCTTCCTAGCTACTTGAGAACCTGTTATAATTCGAAATTATTATTTTCTCATAATCCTAAATGTTCTTACCTGGTGCCTTTTGTTATGTATTTTTAACGTCTTTAGAAGTTTGCTGTTTGCTGTTTTTTCCCTGTGTTGCTTTGCCCAAAAATTGATGAGTAAGAAATGAAGTTGTGGAATCCGGTAATATGTTGTTTTTTATTTTTTATTTTTTGATATCGTATGGTTCCTTATGCTTACTCCTTGCGGATCCACGAAGTTTGTGATGTGTTGTATAATGTTTTCACTGGACACCAATATGATCTTGGAAACGCAATTTTAGCCTTTGAACTGCTCGTTTCGTTATCCCTTTTCCAGTGACAGTTAGTATATTGTTTTCTTAACTTAGCTCTTATCTTCTTTCGGTTCTGTTTCCTTTTCATCTATCTTGTGGGGAATTTGGGTAATTATAAACTGAAGACGCGGTAGTGTATTTGAATTAGTCTAGGTTTTATAAGCAATGTGATGCGGCGTGTTCGCGGACGAAGATATATGGTTGGCTGTAACTTAGCCTGATATTGAGTAAAGAAGTGTGATTATTTTTGTATTGAATATTAGGGGGGAATAATATTTTTCCCCTTGAGATTCCCTGTTAAAATTGTTGGTGATGCTGTGAAACAACACTTGAAATTTGTTTCTATGATAGTACTCATTTAATTTTGCCTCGTTTTAAAAAGTTGGTTTGCATTTAATTTACGGAGAGGGATGCATGTGAAGAAAAGAACTAAATAACATTTGTATGTAATTGAATTACTCACCTTGGCTGGGTTTTCCACAGGAAGACAAGAGGTATGGGAGCTGCCCGCAAGTTGAGGTCCCACCGCAGGAGGCAAAGGTGGGCAGATAAGGCATACAAAAAATCTCACCTTGGCAATGAATGGAAGAAGCCTTTTGCTGGATCTTCCCACGCAAAGGGTATTGTTCTTGAAAAGATGTGAGTTTAAATTCACCTGCCCTTTGTAATCCTTTCAAAAAACTTTCATTAAAGCTTCTAATGTCTGGATGTTGACACGGTATTCCCCCATGTGCCAGAGGTATTGAGGCTAAGCAGCCCAACTCTGCCATTCGTAAGTGTGCTAGGGTTCAACTTATCAAGAATGGGAAGAAGATTGCTGCTTTTGTCCCTAACGATGGTTGCTTAAACTACATCGAAGAGAATGTAAGGCCCTTTATATCTCCATCTGTGTGTGTGTGTGTTTTAATGATTCTTGTTCATTATAATATTGCCAAGAATAAATGTCAACTTCTTGTATTAAAAAAGGATATAGAAGTCAACATCCTTAATTTCTTTTAAATTGCTCACATATATCCATTGTGGATTATGGGTTGTGCCACTTGGTTGTAGGACGAAGTCTTGATAGCTGGATTTGGACGAAAGGGTCATGCTGTGGGTGATATTCCCGGGGTCAGATTCAAGGTTGTGAAGGTATCTGGTGTCTCGCTCCTTGCTCTCTTCAAGGAGAAGAAGGAGAAGCCAAGGTCTTAAATTAATTGGCGCTTCTTGGTTTTTCGTAGTTTTTTCTTCAGTGTTACGAATCTTGCTTCCTGATGTGGAAATTCGTTGATGAACAATTTTGAATCTCTCCTTGTACGCCAACCCAGTCTACCTCTAGTTATTTAGTCAACTTTTACACCAAAATTACCATATCTGCTGCGCCTTATTTTAATCTTATTGACGTTATCCATTGAAAATTTACTGGTCAGTGCAATGGTTAACTCGACAAGAAATCGAGGGCTGGGTATTACGACTTACAATGTTGTTGGTGCTTTATTACATGGAGTTTATTGTAAGCTTTGGTTTGTAAAATTTGATGACAATTGGAGCAGTAGAGGTGCCTAAGGGATTTCAAAATAGTGTCAAAGGAATATAACGTGAATGAATGGAAGCTGACCGACTGGCGGTAGGGTACTGGCTTTTGCGTTTACATCTTGAAATGTAATTACATGCGACTTTTCCCAGATGATAAACTTGAGCGGCGTCGATAATCTGATTCGCATTGTAATGGTTTTGGTCGTAGTAGACCAATTATGGCTGCGGGGAATGATGGGGGTAGTAAGGACGGAGCGAAAGTTAGTCATTATGTGGCATTACTATATTCAACTTATTCACCCAAAACCCAAAAATGCGATTGCATTGAGCATTGTGCTTGATGTCAAACTGCAGAATCGTTTTGAGATTTCTTTCCTATCTGAAGTCAAGGGTGATAAGCGGGGGCACTCCAGTGAAAGATTTGGGGCTTAGTGGAACTGGTTCGAGGCTTTCAAAATATAAATATAATTGGTACGCTTGAATTTGAATTTTAGAATTAAAATTTTATTTTATTTAAAATTCATGCATTTATAATTTTTTATTTGGGTAATTTGAAAATTTTTAAATGAAAAATGAGTTGGAATTGGAAATATAAACAAAAAATTGTGAATGGTGAGTTTTTTATTATTATTTTGTTTTCTGTTTTTATGTTTTTAAAATAATAAAAAATATAATTTTAAGTCTATGTTCTTTTCTCATATTTTATTATTAATTTTTATATTTTTTTGGATGTTTTTAGTTTTTATACTTTTATTTTTTATTATTTTATATCCATTTAAAGTTCTTATATTTTATTTATGGGGAACTTAAAATAATAAAAAAAAATCTAGAGATGAGAAACACAAAAAGAGTTATAAGAATCAACGACAAAATATGATTAAAATATAGAGATTTAAAGTTATGTTTTGTTTAAAATAATTTGATAAAGTAGTTTTTCAAAAGTTTTGGCAATAAAAAATGAAGAAAATGTATTGGAATGGCTACCTCAAAAAACATTTAAATTGGTAAAATCAAGGATAAGAGAATAATTGATTTTATTAATGTAATTGTTATTGATAAAAATATGATATTTCTTTCATTTTCTTTAGTTTTTCGAAATAAAGAATAACAATATATTTATATAATGTTGGTTTTTTTTGTTTTTTAGAACAGATAAAGGAAAATATATTTTTAAACAAGTTTTTTCCTTTTTTTAAATAAAATACTGTTATGAAAATAAATATACTTGAATTTATTTTTATTTTTTAATTGATCATAGCAAATAAAAGATGAAAAACAATATGAGCGTTGTTTGTGGCTGCGAATGCGAGGGAAAAAAAAACTAGTGTGTAAAAAGAATTTAAAATTATAAAAAAAATGAAAATGAGAAATTGATTTGAATTTAAATCAAATTTAAATTTATAAATCTTTGTGTATTCAAACGAATAATTTAATTTCAATTTAAAGACAAATTTTTATAGGTAAAAACAGTGTAAATTAACCTTTTTTTCAAGCCTAGAAAAACGTCCAAACAAAGGATAATTCAAGAGCATATTGCTGTGCGCAAGTATCAATCACAAAGTTGTGAAAAGCAAAATCAGCATGGCTATTGCGTGCATTCTTGGCAAGGAGGTCCGCCCAAATTAAGTGTTTCTCTGCTACAGTATTTCAATTCATAGTCCTCCATGACAGCAACGCATAATTTAATAGCATCAATGAGGTCCCAAACAGGGTGTTCCTGGTTATCATCCCTGAAAATCAGATTAATCTCCTCAAGTGAGTCAGAATGTATGCTTACTTTCTGGAAGTCATGTTGTTGACAAAGATGATCGCCATGTAATATAACTACGAGCTTGGCTTGCAGTAAAGCCAAGTTTGTGTTGAAAACCTAAGAGCAATATGCTAAATTCATCTCTGAAGAGTCCGCAGCAATCCCTTGGTGGTTCATCAAAATAGAAGCGTCTAAAGACGTGAAATCTTTAGGATCTATTTTGAAGTCCTTCGCTGATGGTATCTTCAGTGAGTTTGTCTATGCATAAACTTCTAACGGTGTTCCCGTGCACATCACCTCCTTTGAAAATCTGCTCGCATCTAGAAGAAGTCCAAAGGAGCCAATAGACCAATGCAAAAGCTTTGCACCGAGGCCATTTTTTAAACTTCCTTTACCTGCCTCAGTACGAGCATTCCAGTCAAGCCACATTCGCAAATCACCAGAGAAAAAAGCATTCAAAAGGTTAGGATTAATAATATCACACCAGATCTCACGGGCTGCACTCATGGAGAACATTTAAAGTACTCTCCTCACTATCTATCACATTCAAATGGACAGAGAGAATCATTTGTAAGGTTTTTTTGGGCTTTAAGTTAATTCACAGGTAGTCTATCATGAGAAGCCAGCCGAAGAAAATGCTTAATCTTCTCAAGCATGGGCTACTTTCACATTTTTGTCCATATGGAAATGGCACAACGAGGACGATTCCTTCTTGTAGACAAGTAGGCATCTTTGACACTAAAGCAGAAATCAAAAGAGGATCTCCAATATAAAGGATCACTGCCATTTGGATTGTGCCTTCAAACAGACATGATCTGGCGAATAATTGCAGTCGATAGGAAGGGATTGCAAGCATCCACATTCCAGGCTCCATTAGAGAGAATGAAGTCTCCCATTCGAGCTTTGTGATCAGCAAGCCATTCATTAGCAACAACATAGGCAATGAGAGGGTTTTCCAAGGGGCTCCATTTGTCCCACCCGAGTTAGTATTCTGACCATTTCCAATTTTTCTCCCTACGCAGAAGGTGAAGTCATGCCATACCTTGACAATGCTTCTCCAAGTATAGGAAGTGACAATTTCGCTTTTTACATAAGGGGTCTCATCATTGCTGCAATCATATTTAGCTCTTAAGCATTCAACCAAGAGAGTATCATGCTTGGTTAATAGAGTCCAACAGAGTTTATACATGAAGGCTTTATTTTTAGTGCCCAGGTCTTTGAACCTCAAGCCACTATCAGGTTTTTCGTTAATAAAATTCTACCAAGAAAGGGTTTCTTTTCATGTAATGTTTGAGTCTTCCTTTATTGTTTTGTTGGCTTCAGAAATAAAGCTTCCATAGGCTACTCCATTGAAACCCATAAGCGACTCCTTATATGAAAAGGATTTCTTTTCATTCTATTGAGGTAGAGGATGTTCCTACCCAGCATCATGATCCATCTTAGATGACCCTTCATTTGGAGAAAGAGTTGGAGAGTCAATATTCTGCATGGGAGAAGACGAGGCATGTTCGTCCATGGATGAGAATGCCATCTTCAAGACATTAGTTTTTAGCTTAATGCCACCTTCCTTTACTAAATCTTCCATTGGCCGGTTTGGCGGCTGTTTTCAAAGGCCATTACTATCAATTTCCATGAGAGCCCAGGCATGCAACCCAAGAGAGAGACTGATAGACTCTGTTTTGCTGGAAAAACCTATAAGAGGAGATTCAGAAAAATACAAGAAAAGGGAAAGCATCTTTCTAAGGGGCAGAACGTTGACCTTGCTCTCCTTACTCTTAAGGAGAAAGCTAGTCAAACCTAGTATTGACTCATAGTGGTTTTAGGTCTGCTTTAGCAGAACTTGGTGTGGGAGACTGTGCACTTTGCTTTTGGTTATAGTAGCCGTTAGTTTCATTTGGGGGGGAGTAGTCATTACTTTTGGGTTTTGTTCAAGGGAGAGACTGGCTCTCAAAAACCAGAGGGCATGCTTAGATAGCATTGCATGTGTTTGGGTTCCATAATAGTGTTGTGAGTTCCGGCTGTAACTTGAGAATAGGGTTTGTTTGAATCGCTGAAGTGTCTTTTGTAACATTGATTCAGCCTTTTGGGATTATTATTATCAAACCCCAGTATTTCTCCTGATTTGTTGGTCATTAATCTCTATTATCTCTGCATATTTATCTGTTTAGCAGTAGAGTTCCACCAGAGACCTAAAATTACCTAATAGCCCTTACAATGTAATTTTTGTGAGAGTTTCACTTTTTGCCTGTGGCTGTGTTCTGTTTTTCCTTCCCTGTTCAAATTGCATAAATTAATTTTTGAATCGATAAATTTGACTTTAAATTTTAGATTTAAAATCTTATATTTAAAATTTATCTTTATAATTTTTTTTGTTTATATAGTATAAACAAATTTAAAATTAAAAAACAATGAAAAAGGGAGTTGGGAAAAAAATGAAAAGAAATGAAAGGATTAAAATATATTTCAAATAACTAAGACGCAGGATGGATATAAAATTATAAAAAATTATATTATATCAATCCAAATCGCTAAATTTTTATGATACAAATAGATCTAATTTAAATCCAAATTTTCACACCTTGTTGATTTTGAGCGCTCTACTCTGTTTATCCTTTAACTGCTTTAGCAAAAATTTGCGACGTTATTCTGAGTTCTAACCATTTTTCTTTTGGTGGGATTACGACAGCATTTACATATATACGCAAGTAACCAAAGAGAACGCAAATCTCCTCAATTATCCAATTCCTCCAAATCCATTCCCAATCTTCCATGACTAAACACAAAAACACTGCGGTTTATTTTCGGGCGATTATATGTAGGATCGTAATGTAATTCACATATTTAAGTTCTCGTGCTTCGGAATGATAATTCTTCTAATCAATAGCCTGAATATGATAAGTCAAATTAGAATCAAGACTTCAATAATTTCATTTTTCGCACAAAACAGAAAATCTAAAGAATCAATAGCCAAACTTTTCGAGGCAACCTCAGTTCTCTTTGCTCATGCTCTGTGGCAAGGACAAGTTTGATTTTACCTCTGCAACTGACGATTCTGCAGAAACTCTGACCAAGCCATCCATATTGCAAAAGGATTCTTTGACAGCAAAGGGTTTCCTTGTGTGAGCTGGTGAATATAGATCCTTGCGACTAGACAACTCCACAACATTAAGATTATCTTGGGAGTTGACGTCTGACTGAGAGCAAGAAAGAGAATGACTATCGAAGTTTTTCTGTATCTTCGAATTTATATCCATAACTCCAAGTTGACGGTTCAAACTATTAATTTCCGTAGCAATTGAATTCTTAGGATTATGGTCTCCAACCATAATATTGTTGTCTGGTCTATTCAATGAAGGCATGTTACCAGTACCTTCTGGACTCAATTTATCCATGGAAATGTCCATTGCTTCCTTGGTTTTCATCGCTTCATGAAGTACCGGACCTTCAACCTTTGGGAGATCAGATTCGCCACATTTAAGGCCTTTCCCAACAATCACACGAGATGAATTTTCAACATCACAAGTAGAACTTGAATCACTTTTATTAGGCTTTTCATCAGCAGTTCCATTTTTCTGTACCATACCAAGATTGAGATCTTGCATTCCTACGGGACGTCCTTCAGTCATGTTGTTACTCATGTTTCTGGTTGTGCTTTCAAGGAAAGTCTTGTTTGGAACTTCCACGGATATCTCAGAAGAGCTTTCAACATTCTGCAAAGCGCTAGGCGTCATATCATCATGAACGGGATTTGCTTGTGAAGTTTGCCGGTTATTGAGTTGTGCGTTTTTTATTGACACGTTGGATCTAGCTGACTGAACTTTTCCAAGCTTTGCTTTGTTTTGGCCTTCACTTGGACCAACACTACTTCCATAGGGCAAGCCACGAGGTACAACAGAGTGTGGCTGCATTCCCCCACGAGGGGTGCACCCTGACGATTTCATCTGCACAAGAAGTTTAACACTAAATCAACAAATTGGTGCAATATGGAAATGCGGAAAGAAATGGGTAAAAATAATAATTTATAAAAATATCTTCTGCATCGATCAAAAACAATATAGACTTTAAGCTAAATGACCAGGTCATTATGACAAAAACTTCTGATGAATTTCAGAAAATCGCTCTAGGAAAAACCTAAATACATCAAAGACATACAAAAATGTAGAACTCACCCCATCAAAAAAGCCAATCTTTGGTGAAGGCATTCGAAGGCCCGTTGGTTTCATGGGAGCTGATGGAAGGACTGTTCCTGCAGAAATGGACCTTGCACACTGACTGGCAGACCCAGTCAACTGACTCTCCTGCCCCTCTAAGCTTGAATCACTTGGAGAATTTAGAGAACTTGAAGCTTGTCGCGCATCAGTGTCTGAGAAGACCTTCCTGCAAGAGCTACTATCACTGCTAGTCCTTGAGCTATTAGACCTATTTTTACTCATACAAGTTGATGATGAAGACTCTGAAGACCGGTCACTGATAGAGCTAGCAGGTGAAATGCTAGAAGAGAGCTTGGTGACAGACATCAAGCCTGAGAAGCTATGATTCCCAGAGTTGGCTTTATTTCTTGGAGCAATTTTTGATGGTGTCCTGACAACTGAGCCAGATGCGGGTGGCTTAATGGTGCCAGCACCAACCTTTCTGCTGATGGAATTCAAAGGAGATTTACTGATATTACCAGATGAATTGCTACCAGAAGATGTGGGTCTTGATTTTTTCTTGGTTGCTACTGATGGAGCTGAGGAAGATTTGGATGCTACTGCGGTCTTAGGCACGATACCTCCAGAGCCCCCAATGGTGGGTGCTTTTGGCACTGAACACACATTTCCTGAAAGGTCAAATTAACCAAAAAAATGATTTACAAATCAGAGAGGTATAATCTTGGGCCTAATTTTGGAAAACAAAATAAAGCCAGAGCAAAGGTTAACCACCACCAACTCGTTTTGTTTTTTCCTTTTCACTTCCAACATGCAGACCACCAAGAGAGGCTCTCTTTGTTGACATTGTTAAACGTGGAGTTGCCTTGGCAGGTAATTTAGGTTGCTTTGCAGTAGATGGCTCTCCCCTCCTGGCACTGAGCTTCTTCAAAACAAAAGAAACTGGTGTTAGCAACATAAAGTCACCAAAATTTTTAAGACTTCTTGACCTCCGCCTGAGCATTAGTTTGCCTACGTAGAGCAATGAGTTCTCTTCTCGCGTTTCTATATATTCATACCTGTGAAACTGGGGGACGCACAGGATTCTTGGTCATTTTTCCCAATAGTTGCACGCTGGTGGTACTTGGATTCTTAGAAGATGAGGCTTTCAACTAAAATAAACAAGAAGTTGTTTGAGGGATTTCTCTTAAAATTGTCTTTTTTTTTTCCATGAGATGAGAAGGAAATCATTGAAAAATTCAAATTATAAACATGTATTGATATTAAATCTAGTCCTACCTTGTTTCCAGAAGCCATGCAAGTCGTTTTTATCACTGGAAAGGGGGAAAAAAACAATTTAAGTAGACAATCAACTACCACAGCAGAAGTCAAGAATATAAGAACAGAGCGATTAAATAGTATTCATCCTGCTTTCTGCCTTGCTCATGACATGGTCAAAAGTGCAAAGGAAAAATTAGTGGCATGCAGAAAAGATTGCGGCTTAATTATAGACAAGAGCCCAATGCTCATCATGGTAAAGAGCTTATCCAGTCTAATTCTACAAATTTTCATAACCCCTTTAAGCGTGTTAACTAGGTAGCTAGAAATCGCCAGTACGACAATACAAAGTTTAAAGTGAGAGAAGAGAAACTTACAGTCAACAGTCTGGAGTCCTACAACACCGGATGACACTTGGCTATTTCTAATCGCCACATCGGAAGTTTCGCTGGATTTCTGAATTGAAGCTCTTACTTCGTCAAATAAATTAGCCTCTATACTTTCTAGAGTCAAGCTATCGCTTTCTAACGCAGAGACGGACTCACACGACTTGTGCACATCCTCTTTAATTCCTGGTAATGGCCGTTTACAGTCATCGGTCTGGGACCCTGCTACGCCTGACGTCAGTTTGCTGTTTCCAGATGCCACCTCAGACATCTTGCCTGATTTCTGAATTGAAGCTCTTATATCCTCGAATAAATCAACCTCTAGACTTTCCAGCGTCAAGCTATCACTTTCTAACGTAGAGATGGAATCACAAGACATGTATAAGTCCTCTTTAATTCCCGGTAGTGCATGCTTTTCATCCTTCTCTGCACCTTCAATTATGCTGGACAACTCCTCAGGATCCAAAACACCTGAATACAATAAACACATGGCACTAAAAATGAAAAACAACAGACGTCTTAATGAAGCAAGAAAACAACGCAAGTTCCAAGGGTTCAAAGATACGTACCAGCGCTTGTGAAAAAAGCACTATCCCAAGCTAAACTTTTACGCAAATTGCACTTGTTTTTCTTTGCCTTTCCCATTTCAAAGGTTTCATTTGGCCGGGGCTCCTGCTCCCACTCTTCAAGTTTGCTTACTGCGTCCTCGAACTTTTTTGAGTTTGGAGTGTCTAACAGCTCTGCATGCTCTTGGTTTTCTGAAAACATGTTATTTAAATAAGAATTAAAAATATGCATATTAATTTGAATGATTCAAAAGAAGGGGAGCGGGTAAAGAGAGTCTACATAGATTTGCACACAAATTTTAGAAGTGAACAAAACATGAGATTAAGACATGAAAAGCCCGGGCCAAGAAAAAGACATGGTCCTATAAATAATATGTTAAACTCAGTGCTTTGCGATTACATAGGAAATACAAGTCAACACCTTGCAACGAGTGATCCACCATAATTATATAGTCGAGTGACTGAGATACAACAGCCAGTGCGACAACTGACAATCATAACATCACTTATGCTTCGTCCCATTAGCCTCTAAATGCATAAATCTAACAAAAATGTCATGAATGAGTTTCATCTGGTTATATAAAATCGTAAACGTATCACTGAAGTCAAGATGCTAGGACAGGCGGAGATTCCTGAGGATATCATATCATAATTGAGACCACAACTATGTAGCTCAAAATTAGTTCTACTTATTTCCTAGAAACAATAAACCTTGATATCACTGAGATTTGCAGTGAGCAAGTTCTGCTTTCTTTGTTTTCTTTTCCTTAAAAACAGAAAGAAGGAAACATCTTAGCCAAATGAACCAGTAATACCCTATGTGAACAAGAGCAAGTATCAAAACCATCAGTAATTCAAGGTTCCGACAGCGTTCGAATGACGAAACACCAGTGAGGTAATTTAATAGAAACGTCAAGGGAAGTTAAGCAATAAAATCCCAACCAACAATCAGAATTTGATACGTCACGTATATCAGGACAATAGAAATTTTGAGTAATATCGCAGGCAACTGGGAGTTAAAAGGCCAACCGGAAAGGTGAACCGAATCTTGATTGTCGGGATTCCCCGAAAGGGGATCAAGAAGCGAATCGTCGGCCGACAAGACGTCGATAATGCTAAGTCGCCGATCTTGAACATCCTTCTGTCTTTGAGAACCCTGCATTTCAGAAAATATGATCGATCTGAAACGCGCTTAACCAGCGAAGACAAGCAAGGATGCGAAAGATTCTGAAAGAACAATCGAAAGTGAGGATCAGAGTAGGGCAACTCTCAGAGTCAGGGGCCAAGATAGGAGGAAGTTGTCCGGTTTGAGAATTTTGAACTGAGGAAGAAGCGGCTTTTTGATTCATTGTATTTAAAATAAATAATTAAGCATTTACCTTTTTAAATGAAAAATAAAGAAGACAGGGGGGAAATGGGAGCGGCATGTGGCACACCATTAAGCCGCAGCGAACTTCGGCTCCACGTTCAGAGTTCAAACTGTGAAATTCCGCAAATAAGATGAAAGTGAATTTTTTTTAATTTAATTATTCATTATTTAGTAATTTTTTGGCCCAAAAAACCATTTAGTGCTATATTTATTTAAAAAAAATGATAATAAAATTAAAAAATAAATTAGTAATAATTAAATTCTCGACAAATTGTTTTATAAAATAAATTATAGTAAATATTAATTAAAAGTTATAAATAAGAATTCATATCTTAAATTAATTGTTATATTTAAAATTTAAATATTATATTTGTAATTAAAATTTTTAAATTTATAACTACTTAAATTGATATTTATAATTAATTTTTTTAAAAAAATTTATTAAGAACCTGGATATTACTAATTTTCTTTTTTAAAATCTAATTGTCATTCTTCCTATTTAGTTTCCTTAATATAAGTTTTTTCATTTATAAAATTGAAATCATTAACCATAGTAATGGGAAGCGGGAATGATTTTATCAAGATTTTAAAAAATTAAATTGGTCATCAAATTAAGTAAAACATTAGTTTAAAGTTTAATGGTCGAACTATGATTGAATCATAATCAAACTATTTATAAATAATTTAATTATTTTTAATAATACACATACAAAAATGAAAAATAAATCTACCAATAATTATAAAACCAACATTTAATTTAAAAAATATTCAACTAAATGTAATTGTTCATAATTTGTTTTAAAAAAATCTCTCTATGTAGCATCCATTTGCGTCCTCTCCGCAATTTCCAAAGCAAAACCACTAATATACTCCACATGCATAAAAATTCTAAAACATCACGTTATATTTAAATAACATTAATTTAAATCAATTCTTCCTATCTTGCGTTGATCCAAAAATTTTAAAGTAAGGCTGTCAAACTTACAAATTAAAATAAATTTGTGATATGAATGTAAACTTAAATCATAAATTTATATAATAAATTTGTAAGAATTTACCGTTATTAATAAATAACTATTAAAAATATATGATTAAATAATTAAAATGTAAAATATGATCATAATTTGATTTAAATATATTTTAAATTTAAATATAAATTATTAAAATTAAATCCATCTACGTGAATAAATTATCATACTTAATGTAAAAATTTTAAAGTAGAGCAATTTAATTTTAGTATTCCTAGTTTTTATTAATATTAGTTTTTTAGCTCTTTAACTTTTATTTTCTTTGAAGCAGGTCTTATCATTTTTATGACTGAATTTTACATAGTATATATTTAACACGTTCAACTCAATAAAAAATCAACAAATTTAATTGAGTTTGCATTTAATTTGAGTTTTTAAATAAACTGAGATGATTTTGTAAATTAAAAATATAAAACAGTAAACTCAATGAATTAATTTGTGAGTTAATTGAGTTTGCATTTAATCTGAATTTATAAATAAATTAATATAATTTTATAAACTAAAAATGTAAAAACAATGACTCAGAAAGTTAACTTGAGAGCTTGATAGTAATGGTCCCTCTCCTATTCATTTTCTTCCTGCTATCCATCTCCTCTTTAATAATAATAATAATAATAATAATAATAATAATAAAAGCACGGCTACAAGCTTGCAGCGACAAGTCTTCAAAGGAATGTCCACTGCTTGTAGGAGGCGAAGGCTGATGGCCCTTTTCCTTCCATATTTTCAAGAGCCGGTCTTCTTCCTTATTTCTCTTCGTCGTCGGCCTGAAAGCTTGAAATAAATCTGTAGCATTTTTCCTCCAATCTCATGGTTTTGGTGCAGATTTTGGGACGCAAGCAGCACGCCAAATGTGATGTTTACAGTAAAATAACTTCTCTTCTTGCATTTTTTCTAAAATCTCTTTTATTTCTTCACATTTCATCTTTTCTCCTAGCTACTCAGTTCTTACTTTTTTCCTTTTAGACCTAATCGCTTGAACCAGTAAATCAGATGGTTTTTTTTTTAATCAATTCGCTGACCTAATCCTGGTTTTGCACCATCAATCGCACCGGATTGGTGACCAGTTCTCAATTTAATTGGTTGATTTGGCGATCTGATTCAGTTTTTAACACCTTGAATTTTATAGTCACAACTATTCTTGCATTTAAATGCATAACAGAAAATTAATAAAATTGTATATCTTAATCTTAATCAATGGGCAAAATAGAGATTACATTTACATCAAATCAAATAAGTAGTCTTTGAAATAACCATGTCGTCCAATAATTTAGTTGAAAAAAATATATTTTTCTAATATTTTTTTAATGAAAAGAAATTTTTAAAAATAAGAAAAAAAAGAGAAACATTTCCAGCCGTACAAACAGCCAATTTTTAATGATTAAATAACCTACCACCTTGTAAGAGCATTTGAATTTTAATTGAATATAATTAATTATAAAAATAATTGATTAATATAATTAACTTTAATTACAATTGACTATGTTCTAATACAATCTATTTATATATTATTTTTTTAAATTGATTTTAGCTACATAAATTATCATAAAATACATTATGTTTGAAAATTAAATTATTGATAAAGTTGTATTTAATATTATTAAATTTGTTAAACTTTATTTGAGAAATAAAATATATTATTTAACAGTAAAATTGAATTAATAAGCAATCTCTCAAAGCTTATTTTGAAATGTGATTTTAGCTCAATAATCAATTATAAAAAAATTGATTGTTTAAATAATTTTTACTAAAATAGATCATTTGGCTTGAAAAACTGATTTCACACTCAATCCAAACAGGCTGTAAGGGTATTTAAAGACTTAGTTTGGTTTGGTTTTGGCAAAAGATTAAGCCAAACCAAGCTAATCAGTTCACCTTAGAAGGAGATCTTGATTTTTTGATTAATCAATTTGGTTTGGTTTAAGTTGGGATCAAGCTTGGATGAATTTATTTGATTTTTTTCCCTATTTTTTCAAAATCCATATATAAAAAAATATTTATCAATAATGTCTAACTTATTAATTAGCATAATTCATTGAATTGTTATATGGATGAATGGAAGACTCCTCTTGCATATTTGACGGAAAATTTGTAGCCGTTCTTTTATATTGTGGAAAGCATGATATTTACATGGAAAAGGAAAAACAAACATATTTAAAAATGATTTTGGACTGTTGGTTATTAAATTAGTGATGATTTAAGCTAATGAGAGTTAAATAAAGTCAATAAGAATTATGAAACTCATTGCATGAGAGATTGAGCTTGTAGTAAGAAAGTTTAATTGTGTGAAATTTAGAAGTTCGAAGAGATGACTTTGGTGATTATTGGTAATGGTTGTTATTGTTCATTATAGCTTAACCTTGTGAAGCATCTAAGTGCTTGACTTTAGTTCGTTCTCAAAGATTTAAAATAATTGAGAAAAATTTATTTTGTCTTATTACTTGTTAAAGTAATTATAGGTGTTTATGAACTTGAAATTATATTTTATATACATGTAACTATATGAATTTATATATTGTCTTTATTTTAAAAATATGCAATAGGGCTTCGTACATCAATGTAATTGTGAAATATTAAAATGATGATTTAAACTCTTTGAATTTGGTAAATTTTGGTGAATATATGTAAAATCACTCTTATTAATCCATAATTAACTCTGATCTTAAGGTAATCATAAGGTTTAATCCAATTAGATTACCAAATTTATAAAAGTTACATAAATGGGATTCCAAGTTTTCAAACTATTGAAACACTTAAAATATACTTTCGTGAATCATAAATAAGAGTAAAGCAAGTTTACAAAAGCATAGGATGCCAATTTGTATCAAAACATTTGTACTAAAGTTGAAAAAATAAATGAGTATAGTAAAATGAAGGTGCTTCATGATATATCATTTATGCATTGTGGCATGTTTTTCTCTGTGTCATGTACCGGGAGCATCACACAAATTATGACAGCATAAGTGCTGTCAAATGATCGTTCTCAGGATAAACTTTTGATGCACCCTATTTCTTCGTTGGACATCTGATTGAAGTGATCTATTGTTTATAAAAAGATCTCTCAAAGCACTAACAAATAGCAGTATTCTCACTCACATATCATTTCTCATTAAAAGGTTGGATACTTATTTGTAAACTTACTCATTTTTCAATTCAAGCACAATTAGGGAGTCTAATTTCATATCCAAGTGCCAAATGCTCATAACAGCCTTAAGATCACAATCAATGAACTTTAACAGGCCTGTATAGTACACCATGACAACACAATAACTTACAAATTTACAATTTTAATGCTCAACCTCTTAATTGCACAAACAGAAAGCAAAACCAACTTACACATTACTTTAATACAGACATCCATATCATCAATTTTATTTTTACACTAATATTTTGACCTTAACTAAGCATTGATATCTAACATACAATATTATAAGGTTTAAAATACACAGTTTACTCAAATTATCAATATCAAATAGTACAAGTAGTCAAAATAATGAGGTTCCTAGTTGGCAATTTTTAAATCTTAAAATAATTTAGGCCTATGAGTTAGGATACTACAATCCTATGCCTCAAGTTATTTTTTTCCTATTTTAATCCAATGAGCTAGCACCTATACTATTAAAAAGAAAGGAGTGAGTACATCCACTCAATAACTAAGGCTAATCTAGCCTATAGAAATGTATGTCAACTAATTATAATGATACAAATGGAATTAACATATGATCACATATTCATAAATTTATCACAACAATAATCATTTCATTAATTTTAGTCACAATACATACAACTATGTGTTTGACAATAACAATATGTAAAGATCGCACGTGTCCTCAATAAGAGATGTATGACCACTATAATAACAATCATGAGGCTAAAGTATGATATACATGATCAATGCCATT